GAACAGAGACTCACCAGGTCTATGCATTACAGCCAAGCGTGAAGAAACAACTAGCCAGAACTGTTTTCCAGCACACTCTAAATAATACATGAAATCCCTTTTTTGAATGTTCAAGAATTGTGCATAGCAATATGTGGAGGGGAGAAATGGAGGAATGTTTTATTCCATATGCATCAAGAATGACTCAGTTTGCATGCCACAGCCAGCTCCTGGGTTTTTTAACTATGGGATCAGCAAGGGCATATGGCCAGAAGCAAATGTGTTACTTCCTACCACTTCTGCTTTCAGCTAACCACACAGGAATGTCATGTTCCTGGTTGCTTTGGAACATGTGAATCCAGAAACCCTGGCCTTTTGATAGGTTACACAACCCAGAGTTAACCCAAGAACAAACCATGTTAATTGAAGCAGTTGATTTAAAGCAGAAACAGATGAAGGGGTGAGAACTAGCATGTTTGCTTGCAGTTAAGAGCTCACAAACCATCCATCATTTGTTAATCCAGGTTGTTTGGTCCACATGTGTACAGTTCAAACCTGTTTCTCAATGACATCTAACATTTTTGTCACAGGCATTCTGATAAGTTCAGGCTAAAGTTGTGTAGAATGAATATATGGCAGCTCTGTGCACAACGAATGCACAGTGGCACATTCCCTGATCTAGGATCCTCCAGATATTTTGGGCTGCAACTCCCACCTTTCCTGAGCACTGGCCATGCTGGCCAGGCCTGATGGAAGCTGAAGTCCAGAACATCTGGACCATATCAAGCTGTGGAAGGTTGGGTCATGGTAAAGAGGCCAGACCAGCAAGCATAATTTCATTTCAGCAGGCTCAGTGAAGTCAGCTGAGGATTTCCCCGCATTTCTTAGTTTTGTTAGGAGCAGCAAATGCATTTTCCAGAATAAGGCCATGCCATGGCCAGAACAATTCAAGAACAGAGAAGGTGCACTTTGAGGCTGTAAGTGCAACTTTGGTGGGGTATGAAACCTTGCAATATTCCAAGCATGCCAGCCTTAGTCATGAAGATGTTAAATCTATAATCTCAAGAAGCTCCCACCCTGCTTCCAAAAGATGAATCATGCTGGGTGACATTATGACACTGAAGTTCTGTGCATGTATTCAAGTTATCACATCTCTTGGATCAAACCAGACAGACGTATCATTTTTGTTTCGAGAATAATCCCCTCAACCCCATTGTCAGAATCAAGTCTGCTTCACAGACTCTCTTAAAAGTGACAATTGCAATACAATTCTTTCTTTTTAAACGATTGTTTCATCAGCTTTGAACTCAGCTTCACCAGGAATGGAATGGTTTTTCCCAGAACCCTAATAAAACCATCTCCATCTCCAATTTCTGATTAATTAGTTTATTATTCTGTGCAATTCACGAATGGATGTTTCCCTCCTCCATTCACCAGAAACCAAACGACTGCAATATGAAAGAAAACTTGATGAGCAGTGTTAGAACTGTGATAATCCATTTATGGCTTGTGCCTAGGTTTGCACTCAGAGCCCACGTTTTCTGATAAAAGCCATTAAGCCTTTAAAAAGAGCTGCCCTGATCCTCAACTTACTTGTTATTCAGAGACTGCTTAACAAGCTATATTAAATCCAGAGCAGGGCTGTCATTTAGTACATAATTAATGTTATAAGTCTTCCCTAGTAAAACCGGTCAGGCATCAGCTTACCTAACTGATCTGAAAATGTGAAATTCCCTTTGCTTGTACTCATTGTCGCAACAGACTTAGATTCTTACAGCTTATCTGTGCAAGCGATTCTTCCACATCTGGTTAGGTAGTGGTGGGCATGAATTTAAATAGGGGAAATAGAGGCGCACATGGAGCAGCCTCTTGAGTTCTTAAACCGTATTTGTAGAGATTCACACACTCCAGTTTGCATGCCCTTCCTCTCAACCTGTGCGCAGAAGGCTCTCTCTTTGGCCCTATGGTGCGGCATCCACTTAGGCAGCGCCCTCCTCCGTCATGGGAAGCAGTCCATGTCTCCCATGCGGAGGACGGGGAATCACGGTGAGACGAACATGGGTCATGCAGGCACTGATGAGCGCGCCTGAGCAGCTCTCCGGGTTGCAGGAGCCCTCGTGTTCCGCAGGAAACACAAGAGGCTCTCCTCCAAGCACTCTGAAGTAGGTCGAGCACCACTGCAGGTGTACTCAAAATAGAACCAATACCAGAGCTTGCCTGCCTACTGCACTTATCTGGCTGTTACAGCACTGCTTGCCTTCTCAGATTCCTTCACTTTTCGAGCACGCACTGGGTTTTGGAAAGCTCCCAGACTCCATGCTGATTGCAAATTGCTTGGTTTGCCAAGCAGATGCAGGCATGCCTCTCACATAAGATTCCCATGCTCTTGCCAGAGAATCCTCCCCATAGATGGGGTTTCTGGCCCACAGCCCCTCTGCAGTGCTCCTTCCTAGTAAGCTGGTCATTGGAGAGCTCTCTGCAGGACCCCGGGCAGCCCTTTGCTTTTTGATGTGGGATGGAACCTGATCCCAGCAGAACGGAGGAATAAGGTATTTGGCAAAAGCAGATCCTTCTGCAAGAAGGGTTGCAGGCAACAAGTATTTCAAGTCCGGCTTGTTCCTGTTCAAAACGCCTACTCAGTTCAGTGAAACTGTTAAAACTCCTGGAAGACTTGACCCCAACTATACAGGAACTGCAGGGCGTCTCAGCCACAGGATCCTAGGCTGGATGGTCCCCTATCTTTCCTCCACCAATACAGTCTCCTTCAGGCACTTCCACAACTGCAGCGGAATCTGGCAGGTAACTCGGCAGGGGCAGCTTTTTGATTCTTCTTTAAAGGAAAAAAGCCCAAGCTGTCATGGCTCTGCTAGCAGTGCTTTTGGAAAAGACTACCTACCAGCATGCAGGTCAAGGGCCTTCCTCAAGGAACGGGGAAAATCCAGGGAAATCAGGCTTTTAAGGGCCTGATTTCCCTGGAGCAACCTTGCTATGACTGTTCTGTGTATGCTGGATGTGTGCAATTATTATACTTATATGCCACCTTGTTTGTTTCAAGGAACCCGAGGCAGCTTACAAAATCCTCTTGCTACTCTCCATCTCATCCTCACAGCAACAACCTTGTGAGGTAGGTTGGGCTCAGAGTCTGCGACTGGCCCCAAGTCACCGAGGGGACATCATGGCTGCGCAGCGACTAGAACCCAGATCACTGGAGTCGCACTCTCGTGCCCTTATCCACTACACTACACTGGTTCTCTTTCAGCTCTAGGCGTCCTTTTGAGTAGTTTTGGGAAAAGGCATGGGCAGATGTCAAGAAAGGAAGAAAACGAAACATGAGTAGCAACCAGACTGCACGCCACCCCCTAAAATCTGGACCCATTTCAGTCCGGTTTCAGACCCGGGTACGGTACTGAATCTGCCTTGGTCGCCCTGTATGATGACCTGTGCAGGGAGAAGGACATGGGGAGTGCATCCCTCTTGGTTCTCCTGGACCTCTCAGCGGCTTTCGATACCATCGACCATGGTATCCTTCTGGATAGGCTAGCGGGATTGGGGGTCAGAGGCACTGCTTTGCAGTGGTTCCGCTCCTATCTCAATGGCCAATTCCAGAAGGTGGTGCTGGGGGACTATGGCTCTGCGCCATGGCAGCTATGCCATGGAGTTCCGCAGGGGTCCATTTTGTCCCCCTTGCTGTTCAACATCTACATGAAACCGCTGGGAGAGGTCATCAGGAGGTGTGGGCTGCAGAGTCATCAGTACACTGATGATACCCAGCTCTACCTCTCGTTCTCCACCAATCCAGGTGAGGCAGTGGCTGTACTGAACCGGTGCCTGGCCGAGGTAATGGGCTGGATGAGGGCCAATAAACTGAAGCTCAATCCAGACAAGACGGAGGTCCTGTTGGTTGGCGGATTGGGCTTCAGGGAGGGTGAATTGAACCTAGTCCTGAATGGGGTTGCACTCCCTCTTAGGGACAAGGTTTGCAGCTTGGGAGTACTCCTTGACCCAGAGCTTTCACTGGAAGCTCAGGTGACAGCAGTGGCGAGGAGCACTTTCTTTCAGCTCCGGCTGATCCATCAGCTGCGCCCCTACCTGGACTGCGACTGCCTGGCGACAGTGACAAACACGTTGGTGACTTCCCGACTTGACTTCTGTAACACGCTCTACGTGGGTCTACCCTTGAAGACGGTCCGGATACTTCAATTGGTTCAAAATAGAGCTGCCAGGCTGCTGATGGGGACTGGGAGTTATGTTCACATGACTCCAGTCCTCCGTCAGCTTCACTGGCTCCCCATTGAAGTCCGGGCCCAATTCAAGGTGTTGGTGATGACCTATAAAGCCCTTAACGGCTTGGGTCCTGGTTACCTGAAGGAGCGCTTACGTCCATATATGCCCGCCCGCCCCTTGAGATCTGTGGGAGAGGCCCTTCTCCGGGAACCCTCCATGAAGGAAATTAGGAGGGTGAGTACTCGGAGGAGGGCTTTCTTGGCAGCGGCACCCAATCTATGGAATGCACTCCCCGGAAAGGTCCGCCTGGCGCCGTCGTTATTTGTTTTTCGGCACCAGGTGAAGACTTTTTTATTCATATGTTATTTTAATTGTTAATATTATTTATTCATTTTATTCTTTGGCCAGGGCGACTTAATTTATATTGTTAATTTATATTATTCTACCTTGAAGTTTATTTATGGTTGTGAGCCACCCCAAGGCTTCGGCAAATGGGGCGGCATAGAAGTCTCATTCATAAATAAATAAATAAATAAATCCATCCATCCATCCATCCATCCATCCATCCATCCATCCATCCATCCATCCCAGATTTTGCCTCCAATCCTACCCAAGCCGCTAATCCCATCCTGACCCTGGGCACCCCAGCTGGACAAACGAGGTGGGGGGCAAATGCAGTCGCACAGAATCGCAAAGCTGGTCCAACGGGGGCCGTGTGTGCATCATGCATGGGCCAGTGGCGGGGCTCTGAGGACGTCCGCACCATGGGCTACCTGCGTGGCCGCCCTTCGCCTTACCTGCCGGCCTTGCGAGGGCGGCATCGCGGACGGCTGGACGTGCCGCTGCATCCGGGAGGGCTGCATCAGCTGCCGCAGCTGCTGCTGGAGGAACTGGCTGTTGTTCACTGGCTGGGACTGCTGGGAAGACGCCCCCTGCTGGTGCTGCAGATAGTGGAGCAAGGACTGCGGGCCGGAGCTGGCCGCCATCGGCGCCATCTTCTGTGGAGCCGCGGGCTCGGAGCTGAAGTGGGTCAGCGGCTTGGTGTTATTGAAGGAAAACTGGTCTGGGCCCACGGGGCCTTCGCTCACCAAGCCTGGCTGCATGCCATTGGAGGACTGCTGCATGAGGAGGCTCATGTTTTTCGGCTGGGTCGTCGAGAGAGATTTGAAGAGAGAGGTCTGCATGCTTGTGGGGTTGCCGGTGGGAGCGATGTTGGGGATTAAGGGATTCTGGGGGCTAAAGGGCTGCTGATGCAGAGCAGGACTGGAAAGCTTCTCCGGCCGGTACGGAGGGGACGGTCCGGTATTTGTCGACACCAAGTTGCTTTGCGGGCTTTTGATGCTGCTGGTCGGGATGCTGGTGACACTTATGTTGGGAAGGATGGGGTTTGGAGGGCTGAACGGCTGCTGGCTGAGAACCGGACTGGAAAGCTTCTCAGGCCCAAAAGGAGGAGATGGGCCACTGGACGGGTTGCTGTTGGACGTTATGCTCGAGAGCAAGGAGTTCTGAGGACTCTGGATGCTGCTTCCTGGCAAGCCGTTCGCGCTCATACCAGACACCATGACATTCTGGGGACTGAAGGGTTGATCGTGAGGGGAAGAGCCGGGCCGGTAGGGAGGTGACAGGCCTTGTGCGGATACAGTGGACCAGCCCGGGGCCTGGTGCTTGGTCGTTGGGACCTGCTTGCTTGCTGCCAAGTGCTTCAGTTGCTGTGCATGCCAGTTCGGGCTAGTCATGTTGGGCAGAGGTACTGGGAGCATAGACTGAGGCTGGCTCTTGTTCTGTGCCGTCGAAGAAATGGGTGAAGCGACAGCCTTCGTCTGGGGTGGAACGGGATAGCTTGCTCCAGCGGATGACGGTCTCATCTGGGGCGAGCTACTGCTTGCAGGATTGCACCCTGGAGAAAAGTCTTTGTTGGGCATGTGGTTGTCCAAATGTGGAGCTTGTGGAGAGGACTTTGGAGTGCTGTTCATGGTGGGCTGTGGGTGGCCGAGACTTCCAAGCGACTCCTCCGGTTTGCTTCCCAGTATCTTCTCAAGGTCCAGCTCATTGGGGGACGGATCAGGCATCTTTGTCAGTTCTTCTAGCAGATCTTGCAGCTCCTGGTCCACTGAATGCAAGTTACTCCCTTTCTCGTCATAATGGCCACCTATGGGCCCCTTCTGCCCTACTTCGGTGTTGGGTGGGACGGAGAATGGAGACCCGATACTGTTCCCGTTCCGGTGGCTGCCTTCCAGCAGCATTCCATGCCCTGCCACGCCCATAGCGGATGCACCGTGACTGGTGGAGAATGGTGAGTGCTGCATATCTGGGCATGAAACAGGATTGGTCCCTTGGCCCATGGAAAGGGTGACATCATCAAGGCAGAGTCGCTTGCTGTCGCCTGGGAAGATGACGTCAGGCACGGCATTGGCAGGTGGGGAACTGTCATCTCCCAGCTTTCTCTTAATGGATCCCTGTAAGTGCAAGACAAAAACGTTTTATTAAGCTGACACGGCATTATTATTTTTATTTTATTTTTTCGATTTATATCCTGCCTTTTTCCTACAAAGGGCTCAAGGCAGCTTACATTATCTCTCCTCCATCTTATCCCCACAACAACAACCCTGTGAGGTAGGTTGGGCCGAGAGACTGTGACTGGCCCAAAGTCACCCAGTTGGCCCCATGGCCGAGCGGGGACTCGAACCCAGATCCTCTGAGTCCCAGTCCCATGCTCTTCACCACTGCACCACATTCTGAACCTACACAGCAAATAGGGCAAACAGCTTCCCCAGGATGCTCAGGGACCCGTTCACATCCTTTCCCCCAAATCTACTTTCTCAGCGTGAGGCCCCTGCTGAATCACGGTCCCCACCGCCACCCCGGTCTTCAGCCCTCCGCAGCCAAGCCTGGCTGTGTGCAAAGGCAGTGCTCACATGTATTCATGCACGCAAATTAACATTTGTGCTTGCGTTCAACCTGTGAAGGAGCAGAATCCATGGCTCCAGAGACCTTCAGTGAAACCAACTGCACGTGGGACTCAGCGCTCAGACCTTTAACTACTTAAGGCTGAATAAAATTGGCAGCTCAAAGCGAAGGTTTGTGGAGTAAGGTTAATTTTGCATTGCAAGCTGTAACAGATTCCTTTTTGTGCTGTGTAATTAATATGCCCAATGGTTTTCTTTTTTCAAAGGGTCAAGTCTGTTAGAAAGTAAATGTGAGAAAGCACCGTAAAGCATTTTCAAGTGCTGTGTAAAATACAGTAATGAGTCTTCAATGTCTCTCTCATGCACGCCCAGATAACTGGAAGAATATTGTGAGAAGCCTTCTCTTCAGAAACGGATGGTCAGTGTTTAGATAACACCTTTGGAAGTTATCTCCCTCTTGATAAATCAGCACATAATTTTTAATGTCCTCAACTCAAAGCAGCAAGTTTAATGGCTGTTGTAATCCTACACATACCCAGCTCATGGCTATTAAAATGAAGGGCCACCAATAACTTTGAAGAGACAAGCAAGCCATCCCATGTGGCCCTGCCAGATTCATTGTCTTCTGCTTAATAAACTTAAGGAACTGTAAAAATGCAACTTTCCCTCTCTCTGATTTCTGCTTCTCTAAATCACAGTTACATACCATCGTGCCACTTTATCGCATGCTAACCCTTAAAACCATTTTTTGAAAGTATTATAAAAGGAACAACTGTTGACTGACTGGAGGAGAAAGGGCTCGTGCAAATTAAGAGTTCGCTTTTTTGTGCCATGTGAAACATCTGTGGTGAGGTAGCTTGAAGGATTATTGTATGTTTAGATAGCTGAGAGTGTTTTGTTTTGCTTGGTTTAGCAAGTATGCAGATGACTTTGAATGCTCTGCCTGTGAGGAATGTAAAATGGTTGTGTTCTCAGGGTGAACTTAATGCCCCCTTGTTGGCTATGTGTTGCCAGCCTGAGTTCAGGATTCCACTATTCTTTAGACGGAAAAATAACTTCTATACAATAGATGCTGCCTTGTTCACCAGCAGCAAAAAGCGCGTTGCCATAATTGAAACAATTCCCAGCTATTTTTTAAATCTGTTCACGGGAGAGAAGAGGGCCAGATAATGTGACTTGCAAATCATCAAGGTGTTCTAGAGCAGACTTCCCTACAAAGGAAACTCAAAGGTCCCCACCACAAGCAGCTTCACAGTCTCCAAGGTGCTGACAACAGAGTGAGAGGCTGCAATATTTCTTTAGTTCAGTTATATGAAAGTACAGAGACCAGTCACCCTTGTATTTCAGCCTCTCAGTTCAGACCCACGCATACACCTGCGTTTCAAGTCTTCAACATCCCTGCGTCCTCCCAGAAGCTTTTGATTTTTATTTATTGTTTTTTAATGTTTTATGCTGCTTTAACTTCATTTTAATTCTTGTTAATGTTTTGATTCTTTGTTGTGAACCACCCAGAGTGGTATGGAAATGAAAATAATAACAATAACCAAGTAGTAGTAGTAGTTGTTGTTGTTTTAAAGGGAGATAGGCAGCTGTTTTTCTCATTGACTAGCTGCATGAAATCATGGAAGTTGCTTGATGAAGCAAACGGCAGCCCATGGTTCAACAAGTCATTGTTCCACCACAGTGGTTTGAAAACTTTACATCCTAGCACACACAGGTGATCTCTTCACCTCTGAAGACACTCTGAGAATAGCACAGGTAAAGAGATTCCTCACAAGAGGTCATGAGGCATTTTGTTCCTCTGAGGAGGGTATGAGTGCAAAAACCACGCGTCCCTCTTTTCCAAACAGCACTAAATCCTTGGGTTCTGCTCATAGTTCTGCTCGAGCATTTTGCAGAGGCCTTACCAAAGATCTCCCCCCGCCGCCCCTTTGCCTCTCCCCCATTTCCTGACTTCTTGGGGGACTCTGCTTAACACACTGTCCAGTTTTTGCCTAGCCACTCATCTGTCCAGAGAGACACAACTTCCATTCTCAACTCTGAACAGCCACTGTGGTTTTGGGAAATTTTTACAACTGTATTTGTTTGCGCTCAACTAAAGAACAAACTGGGTATTCACAGCGGGTTTTCTCTCCTCTCTTAACAAGCAACACCTAATCAGACCGATCTGCCTTCATCAGGAGTATGACCTGCCCATCCAAGTCCCTCCAATCTTGGCTTATGTGAGGGCAAGATGAAACCTTCCCCTTGAAAAGCCCATGGTAGGCAGCTTGGTTGCCCAGAAAACATTCCCTCCTCACTATCTGGCAGGGTGATCAAGGCTCTCTCTCCTACATCAGCCCTTAACTATACCGAACACGGCGTCTTTCAAAACTGTTAATGATAGATGCCTTCTTCAGTTATGACCGTAGGCCGTGTCACTTCCTCCAGTCTAATTCACATCCTGCCTTGCATAACCTCTGCAAAAAGACAGCAGCTTGGCATGCAACCCTACTTGGAAAAGCCTCCAGGGTACATGACACATGTGCGGAAAAACAGGGAAGCGTACAGAGAACTCCGAGCGAGAAAACCTTCGTCCCGTCAAATGCTGGGCATCTACTATCTTGGGGTGAGCGTTCATCTTCCCCACCCTTAAAATGTGCATTGCAAAGATTCCAATGGACTAATTTGCCATGGAAGCATACCGGGAAGAAACGGCATCTTCTCACTCATTGTCCATTAAAGTTAAGAACGTAAGAGGTGCCCACAGAATCCTAGCAGAGGGTTGAAAGGCCATGTGGTTGAATAGGCCATGTGGTTTCTCAAATTACATGAGAAACATTCCCTAATTCTCATCGTTTATGTTTTATTATGAACTGCCTCTAATCACCTTTTCTCTTCCTTATCCTTTTTCCGTATTCCACCTCACATCTCATGCAAAGTATGGGGCAACTTTTCCTTGTGAGCGCAATTCCAGGTGAGAATACCCCATCTGATAAAAACCAACCTCAGGCATGGTAATCCACATAATCAGACTGCAAGTACATCCAAAGATCAGAGCAGCAGAACAGATGGCTTATACATACACACATGCACACGCACACTAAAAGAGTTCTGTGTAACTCAGAAATTCTGCAGGCTCCAGACTTTCTTCTTTCCATTAAAAACCCAGTAAGGAATATTACGCATTCGTTTCTTACGATCCAAGCTACCGCCATAATGAATGGGGGAGAAAAGAGTACAGGTCGAAGAAGAATGAAAAATAATCGACAAGATGCTGTGTTCCAGGTAAAGTCAGGTATGCAGGCTGCCTGGCTGCATTCACCTGCCATGTTCACCACAGGAGGTGCACCAACAGGGTGATGCACCTTGCTTGCCAAACAGACTTCTGTAGCAGAATTTGCTTTTGACAAACACATTGGAAAGAACCAGACGATGCTATTCCTGCCCCATGCCATCCCCCCAGAAAAAGATGCCTCTTAATTAGTCCTCCAACGACTGAACAGCAAGCACACTGGGCATATTGTTTGGTTGTAACTTTCACATTTCATTTACTGACAAGTGCTATTAACTTGACAGCTGAAGAAAGAAGTGCTCCCCCTGCACGTCTTTCTTTGCTTCTCCCATTTTTTCAAGCTGCAAAGTGCAATTCTTTCACTTCTGGCTGTAAATCAAGACCAATCTCCAACTCAATGCTTTCCCATCACTCGTGCCTCACTTTACCTCTCTTCTGATGCTTGTAGTATTATTTTATGCCACTTTCTTTTACAGTTGTTTAATTTCCAAGTCCTTCAGCACCCTTTACAGTAATTCCTGTACTGTTATTTCTACAGTACAGTAGACAACATTAATTTCTTGTGACAACCCAAGGATCCCCTCCACTGTGAAAGAAAGGAAGTAGCTCTGCAGATCTCTCACACACAACCCAAAGGGATCTGATCTGCAGAAAGGCTGTTTTCTCTTTTCCAGTCTCCGTTGATTCTGTGATCACAAGAGTGCTTTCACTCTGTGCACAGCCCTGGCTGGGAACGGGGAGCATTCATTCCCCCCACACTGGTCTACGTACGGCGTGCCCTGATCCTTCACATGTCTCCGCAGCAGATACGGGGAGCCCCGAATGGTATGTCAGGGAGAAGCAGTAGCATTCCTTCTGTACAAAGTGGTTCAGAACAGGACCACAGTTAGAACAGGAGCCGGGGACACAGAAAGCCCCAGCAAGCATCTGCCCTAGGGTGTGATGAAGGAGAAATCCATCTTCCCCTTCAGTTTGGTCCCTTGCCGTTCAGCGCAAGCACTCCAGTACTGCGGCTTTGCCTCCCCCAGAGACATCAAAAGCCAACCCCAGCAGAGCCCTGGTGCTTCCCAGCAGGTGTCCTGCAGCCACAGCAGTCCCTTTCCATCCTGACGACTGCAGGAAGCGCACGAGGCACGAAGGGAAGGGGTCCAGAGGAGGGCAAGAGAAATGATCCCAGGTCTGGAAACACCGTCCCATGAGGACAGGCTGAGGGAACTGGCATGTTCAGCCTTGAGAAGAGAAGACTGATCATATCTCTCTGGAAGTCTCTCAAAGG